CCCCAAAACCCCAAAACCCCAAAACCCCATTGTATAGAATTTATTTTGAATATCAATTCTCTATATTGTTAAAATTACAAAATAGGCCATGTAACAAAGTACCAATACCAAAGAAAGGTTATTCTAAGTTTGCAAATTAAAGATCTTGAACTCTTATTTTAGTAAATTTAAATTATCTTGGTAAAGGAAGGAGTCTCATAACTGTAGAATTTGAGGATCCTTAACTTTATAAAGTTAATACAAACTAAGAAGTATCAGGTTCTAGCAGAAAATGATCTAGATTTGTGATGCTCGAAAGAATATTCTACCATAAACAAGGATAGATTATTGATAATATAGTTTAGGCTGTTATTAGAAACATTGAATATTTAGAGCTTTGATAAATATCATTTAGTCAGCGATTAAAATTGTACCTCTCTTTCAAAGTTTTACAGCTGATTTAAGAAGAAATTGTATCTTTTTATTTTCCAAACCAGCTCGAATCCCAGGAAGCCCCATTTTTGCTTAACAAATCAAACTCTGTCCCTTCTCAGCCATTAATCTTGAGCTACAACATCATATGACTACTTCCCATTTTTGTACCTAAAAGGAACTTTTTCTTTATCAAACTCCGTTTGTTTTTCTTCTTCGACTGACTAAGGAAGCTACAACTTGAAATAACTTAAAGCAACCTATCATAGTTGAGTCTACTTGTAAGGTCTACTCTTTAAGATTTGTGTATCATTAGTTGAATTTAAAAATTAGAGGCTGAAAAGAAAGGCTGACTAATGAAGGGATTTTAAGATAAAGTCTTAGCCAAAGTCATCCTTTTTTATGAAAATAATCATGGTGAAAAATGGTTAAACCATAATAAAATGAATGAAAGCCTTTGAAAGTATCCCAGAAGTTCAATATTACTGCAGAGCTTTATCAAAGCAAATGAAAATTTAGCAAGATATAAACTTGAAATTAATTTGCAAAGAAAAATCTTGCACCACCTAGGCTCTTTTATAAATAACAAAGACCTTCTTATGAATATTCATGAGTACTCCTAGTCACAGTATTAATCTCTCCGGATCATGGAAAATGAAAGGAACAGCTTCCAAGATTCAGGAATCAAGAAAATTTATCATAGCTCGCCTGATCATTAAAATTTTTAACTACTTTTAGCAATTTACACATATCTGTCAATCCGCAGTGAATAAAGGATATTTTTCTAATAAAATTTTAAATATTGGGAAGAGGAGAGATAGAGAGCGGATTTTGACTAAAACTCAAAGATCTCACTCTTAGCAATCCATTAAGGCTGTGATAAGAATATTTGACTTGGTGAACTTCTTCCTTTTGTATACTTACTAATGCCCAAGAGAGCAATTTTAAATTCAAATCTGGCTTATTGGCATTCAAGAAAGAAGTAATGAAACTTAAAGATCAGGGATAGAAGAAAGCCATAAAATCTAATTCAAACCTAATTCTTTGACTGGCTGCGATAAAATGTGAGCTTATTTGATCAGTGGTCAAAGAACTAAGATAATAGTAATTTTAGAACTTATGATATCCAAAATATATGCAATCTAATGTCATAAGAGAATCCAAAGGAACAACTATTAAGTTATCTTGGTAATTACACCTAGTCACCCTCATTGAATTTACTTTATTGAGAGGAATTTAATAGATGATCTTTTGTCAATCTGGTAAAGTAAGATTCTCCTTTCCACAATTTCTGTCGTGACATCTACTTTGAATACTCTTCAATCTTAACATGCCCAAAGCCATGATCAGACAAAATCTTCTCCACTAAATCCTCCTCCATTGCACACTCAGACATATAAATCTCCTCCAAATTCTCTCTAAAATCTTCCTCTTGAGCTAGCCCAGCAATCAGATTCTCAAATTTCATCCCATGATCTCCCCAGTCTCCGCCCAAAAAGTCTCTTCAGCCATTCAAATCCAGTCCTTTCATTGTGCTTCCAGCTAGGCTTCCTCTGAAATCAGGAACAGAAGATAAGTCAAGCTTGCATTGGGTAAATCCAAAGCACTCTGTATGCCTGTTAGCTGCGAAGAGGGCGACTAGTTGGTCCTGGGAGACTTCAAACTGATAAATATACAAATGCCCAGTAACTCTCTGACTCACCTCCATCAGTTCATCCAAATAAAACCCCAAAGAGCAACTTAAGCAAGAGTCACTATTAAAATGGAATGATCTAACTTTACTAGGAAAACAGTTGCCCATAAAAATCTTAACTTCTTGTCACTCCACGGGGATATTGGCCAGATTTAGTATATCAATATCAGGCATCCTCCTGTTCAAAGATTTAATAAGTTCCATATGTTTTGGGTTTCAAAGTTTATATTCCAGAGAGGCATCAGACCCGACTTGTTTGTTCTCCCCAGTGATAATTTTGTTGAGGAGGCTGAAGTCAGAGTGTTCAGAGAGATTCAGGCTTGAGATTAGTGATTGCTTCATCATCCCAAAGTCTGACTTAGTTTTCTTAACTTCTTCAGTAAGATTCTTATTCTCAATTTCAGCCTTTTCAAGAAATTTTATTTTCTGTTCAAGTTCAGACTTCAGAGAACTTATTTCTTGTTGGTGCTTTTGTTTAACAACTCTTCTTTGTTCTCGTATCTTTCTGATAAGCTTCTCAAACTTGGCTTCATACTTTTTCTCGAGTTCTAGCTTGATAGTTTCGATGCTTCTTAGGTCTTCTAGTTTAGCTTGCGTTGTTCCTTTAAACCAAGCCTTGACCACAGAAGTGTATTCTTTGTCTTCAATGAAAAGATTTTCTGTATTCACAACTTTTTCAAACAAAGATTCATATTTGAAATGTTCGCCAGCTCTATTAGCTCTCTCCAACTCCTCCAAAATTATTTGAAGTTCCTCTTTTATTGTGACAACCAGGGCACTACACTGTACAGGACAAACTCCATAATTAAGATCTTCAGCGAAAGCTACAAACTCTTCTAGCTTTTCATAAAACACTTTAATTCTGTGCCCAACTTCAAAAGGATCGATTAAATCAATATAGGATGACTCTGAGCATAAGCTACAATTACAATTATTTACATTTCAATTTTGATTCAGACCAAACCCACTTCAATTTCAGACATCTTGATTGCTTCCATTTATAGATTTGAAGATTCACGAATGTTTGGAACCAACTTCTTGGAAATACTTTCCTTTCATGACTTAACCTCATAATATTGGGTAAGCCTATGATGAGAGCACACATATAGCTTCTTCTGCTTTATATAGTGCACTGGCCGTGCAGAACATCCTTCATGTTGGCAAAGATACTTATCCATTTTATTTAATTATTTAATGAATATTGGTTGGTCTTAATTTCAAACTGTTGTGAAGGAGCTGGGGTTTTGGGGTTTTGGGGTTTTGGGG